CTTGTAACCCCTCCACCAGCATGTATATTACCTTTATCATATAAACCAATGAATGGTCTAAAAGTTTGTTAGTGTTTGGAGGTGTAACAGACATGACACGTTTTTCAAAGTAGAAGTCATCTCACCAATAGGTAGAAGAAAGGAGAATGTTTTGATGTGTTGGCTCTCACTAAATGTTGATATGAGCCCATAATCTACATTTAATTAACTCGTTTGTGCTACATTACTTAGATCAAATGTTAGCAGTGTGTATTGAAACCATACTTTGTCATACTACAATAGAGGTGATATCTTTCGATCATGGTTGCCACATTTTAATGTGTCATGGTACTACAAAATAAAATTAATTAATATCAAGTAATCAGTATGTATTATTTGTATAAATAATAAATTAAAATTTAGTAAGATAATTACCTCTCTATGCCATTTGTGACCATCAACATGCTAAGGAATAAAAGGAATTGACAACAAATCATATACCCCATAGGAAACAATTTAGGTTCAGGAGCCTAAGCTTGAAAACGTGGTCAAGACTATATGTGGGGGCGATATTATATTAAATTCTTACATATTTAAATGTATTTTTATAAACTAAAATTGAAATAGGATACTTTATATAGTCATGCTCTATAAAATATAAGGTAAATATCTACATAAATCTTAGCTATCTTCAAGAACTTGTAAAAATACCTACATTAAATTTTGCATTTTTTAAAAATAAAAAATTGGCTTAAGTAATCTTTTGGTCCCCTTAACTTAATTTTATCCTTTTGTCGGATTATTACCGATGTAATCATAAAAAGTTAATTTTTCAGGAATTTTAGACCAAGCTATTTCACTTTGCTCTCTTAGCTAATAAACATTACAATTTAGTCCCTAAAAATGTTTATGTTATCCAACTTGGTCATTTCTGTTAAAATTTGAGACAAAAATGTTAAATTGAGCATGTGTAACAATCTAGTTGGTATAATGTAATTTGACATGACTTTTCTATTTATTTTTAAGTTATTACCATTTCAAAAAATAGAAGTAGAGACAAATGAGTGAACCCTATTATCCTTCATTTTCCGCAAAGACTAACACTTAACCATAAACACGGGCAAAAAGAAGACAACGAAAATTATGAAACCCTAGATTCTCAAAAGACGAACACAAACAAAGTGAAGAAGAACAAAGAAAAGACAAATTATTATTCATCTCCATTCTTAAAAAGGTATGAAAATCTGAACTTGTTAAAAAAGTGAACATTTTATTTTTTACATCTTCCTCTCACTAATTCTTTCTGCATTCTTTAGACTGAATATGTCACATATGAGAGGTTTGAGTGTGTTTTGCATCATGGGATAAATTTACTAAGCTTACGAAATTAGGTTACAAAGAGTTAGAGTGTGTTTGGTAACGTGACCATGAATTTTGGGGTTAGTTTGAAGTGTTTAATGGTTTAAAGGATTTAGGGTACCCAACTATGAATAGATTGTGATATTATGATGCAATAGACATTTGTGAGATGGTTCAATTGAAATAAGATTTAGGAACCAATAGGATATAAAACATCGCACTAATGGTTGAAAATGTACATTTATATGTTATCTATCTATTATCACATTCTAAAATAATTGAAGAGTTACCACCTTTCATTGAATACAATATTTTAGGGCCCAATGACAAATAAGAAGAAAATGCTGCAAAGTCCAATGTAGTGGATTTGGATGAAGATGTTAATTGTGATGGGAAAAAATACAACTTTAAGGGAGAGACCACTGAATTAAATGAAGAAAATGTTGAAAAATACAAAGTAGAGGGATGAAACACTGCATTAAACGAAGAAAGTGTTGAAAAAGACAAGTTGGAGGGATGGACTACTGCATCAAATGAAGAAAATGTTGAAAAAGACAAGTTGGAGGGAGGGACCACTGCATTATATGAATAAAATGTTGAAAAAGACAAGTTCGAGGAAGAGGTTACTGCATTGGATGAGGAAAATTTTGAAAAAGACAAGTTGGATGAAAACTTTAATGAGAGAGAGACCACTGGAGTAGTTGATGATATTAATTAGGGAGGGACCACTAATACGATAGATATAAGACTTGATTACAACACTGAAATAAATATGTTATTAGATTGCAACACTGAAATAGATATGAGATTAAATTATAGTCAAGTGACAGATGATGTTAGTGAAGATAATACTTTAGAAGTAAACTTTAAAGATTTATAGTTTGATATTTATATTTGCTGAAAACTTTATTGATGATGAAGAATTATTAGAAAAGGAAAAAGGTGAAGAGAAAGGGAAAAGAATGAGAAAGGAAAAGCGAAAGGTAAAGAAAAAGGGAAAGGTAAAGGAAATAAAAAGGGGAAGAAAAATGGAAAAGCAAGGCTGAAAGGCCATCTAAACAATAAAGTGAGGTTGAATATAGTGCAAAAGTGAATTTGAGTGATGGTGTGAATGAAGAAGATGAGACAAGGGTAAACTATAGATATTGAAATGACATTGAAGAATATAACAATGATGATTTACCTAATGAGTATGAAAATGAAGATGGTTCAAAGACTGGTTTTCAAACATTCAAGCTTTCAAAAAGAATGAAGGAATGCAAGTGGAGAGTTAGGACATATTTTACTACAAAGCAAAACTTTCAAGGGGTATGAGGACATTTGCTATATATTCTAGAAGGAATTTTAAATTCAAGAAAAATGATAACAAGAGGATGAGAATGATTTGTGAGGCATGTTGTGCATGTGAGACTTATTGTGAAAAGATATCACAAGAAGAGACTTGGCAATTGAGAAAAATAGTTGACAATCATACATGCAATAGGAATTAGAAAGTTAGGTTCCTTACATCAAAATGGTTAAGCAATAAGATACAAACTAATGTGGAGGAGAATCCAAACTTAAAGTTGACATACATAATAGCGAAGACTCGATAAAAGTGGAAAATGAGACCATTAAATTAGGCAACACCAACTAAATATGCACCACCAAGTCAGACATCACTAACTGAACCTGCACCACCAAGTTAGACAGTACCAACATATTTTTGTTTGTTTATGTGAAGGAAATTTTGTATGATGCCATTATGATTTGAAATTGTTTGTTGGCACGTTGAATGTCTGGTTTGAAACAAGTTATAACTTTAACATTATAATAAGTTACATTATAACATTAAAAACCAGAGTCATATCATGTTTTAGCAAAATTTAATCACTATTATAGAAGGTTTTAACGTGTTATAACATTACAAATTAGAGTTATAACATATTTTAGCATAATTTAATCAACATTATAATAGGTTTACTCAATATTATAATATAGTTTGATAAAAATTATAACAGGTTTAATCCAACATAATTTTATAATCGATTTAATTCAACACAACTTTATAATAAGTTAAATTAATATTATAGAATAATTTCATTAAACCAACACAATTTTTACATAATTTTTTCATGACAATAAACCAAAACAACTTTTGCATAAGTTGCTTATGATAATCAACCAACACAGATTTTAAACTAACCATATTTAAAATACATTGTTAAAATCATTATATTCATTCATAATTTAAAAATCTTAAGTATCGTTGACATTTTTAAACATCGTCTTGTGTAGACAATCTCATTCTTTAATTTGAAAATTTTCTTCTTTAGTTTTTCAATTTTCTGACCTCTTTCATTACTTGAAGAAATTACAATATGTATCCATATGATTTCTGTAATTTCTACAACTTCTAATTTTTTTTTTAAATTTCAAACTGTTCATGTCCATCACAATACGAAAAACACATTTTTATTGGCAAAAACACTCCATCATCTTTTGTCTTCTAAGTAGAGATTCAATTGTCCTCAAAACTTTGATTGTTTGACATTGAAGCCTTGTTGTAAATCTGACATTGAAGATGATATAATATGAGTAATGTTTATAAGAAGAAGATGAAACCTTGAAGATGATATAATATAAGTAATGTTTATAAGAAGAAGATGAAACCTTATAAAACGCAAAACACTCTTCTTCTCTATATGAAATGCTTTAGAATGAAGAGTGTCACCTTTATAAAATGTTTATTGACTTACTCTTTTGACTTTTGTCAACTCATTTGCTTTTTCTGGGTCAAATTCTAACCGAAATGACCAAATTGACTAACAAAATTGTTTTTGAAGGATTAAATAGTAATATATATTAGAAAAGAGAACGAAAGTGAAACCATAAATTAAGTTAAGAAACCCCTAAAACTAATTAAACTTTTAAATCTCTTCAAAACAAATAATTTTACAAAATTTATACCATTAAATAAGTTCAGATAAATCAATCCAAACAAAACTTTAAGCTCGTTCGTCTTTTAACTCATTAATATATTTAATCATAAATCAAATTAATTATTTAAATATATACAAATAAACAAGACTTTCAAATAGGCTAACAAGTAAACCATACTTTAAAAACACCCAATTCGACTCAGTCTATTCTCACCCATATCTCTACATAAGTAGACCATGATAACAAAGATCAACAGGGAATACATTGCGAATGTAAACATCCCTAATAGATTGAAATCAGATTAACAATGTTGGTTTTTGGGGATCGATTTGATTAAAAAAACACAAGTATCTTTATTTTGAAAATTTTGGATATTTTAGACGTTTGGAATGTGAGAATGCTCAAGTGGAAAAGAAGAGAGGGATATATTTTGTTAAGGAGAGACTTGAAAAAATTGAAGAAAAATCACATTAGAAATTTCACTGGCCAAGTCATCTAGCAGGAGAACAATGTTGTGATTATCATGTGATAAGTCATTACACCTAACATGTAGGAAGATAATCTGAAACTAATAAACAACAATTGAAGTGAAACATTACAAATCCATTTACAGAACCAAAGATCAATTAGCCACACAGATGAACTCTACCAAACAATCTTAAGTCCAAATCAAATTATTCTAGAATACAATCAAACATTGCAAATCTAAATGTAAACAAAGCCTTACATGTTTCGACATTTCACGACAAAATTTTCACACCTTTACTCTTCAAATCACTTCTGTTTTCCATCTTGAGTGGCAACGGAGGAGAAAACAGAAGCTTCTCTTTCACTACGTCTCCGTCATCACTACTATGCGTCGATCCTCCACTGTCTTCCACCAACACGTCTTCGTCATCTTCGCCACCTCGAGAAGAGTCCACAACATCTACAACCCCAAACTTTCCATTCTCCAATACCTCACCATGTTCGTCATTCGATGAACTACCATCCGATTCACCACTTCTCGTGCTATAAACCTCGCAAATTTTACCATTCTCTGCAAATCTCACACTTTTCTTCGCTCTAGGTTGAATAACTTCTTGCCTTTTAACAAAGTACCCGTTTTTGTTCCTATCCTTTCTACCCAACAAAACACCGGTTACTCCATCACCATCATCGTCATAATCATCATCACGATCGTCAATGCCCTCCTCGTTCTCTAAACGTTCTTCATCACCTTCATAAACCTTACACAATTTACTAATCTTCTCAACCCTACCTCTCAAATTCTTCAACAGCTTCTTCTTCTCATCATCATCACCATCTGAATTTCTCTGTCTATGAATTTTCTGACCAGTCCTAGAACTCTTCACTGCTTTAACACGTAGTATATGCTTTTTCGCCGCAACCTCTTCGATCGAATCCAAAAACTGAACTAAATCTCTACTAATCGACCTTTTCCCATCCACAATCATCTTATCACAATCCTAACCAAAATTTCAAATTTTTACTTTCAGAATAAACAACACACAAAAAAGAACCAATTCAATTCCAGAATCACTATATCAGGATTTTAAAAAACGGTCCGCAACCATGAAAAAGGCAGCAACAAAACAATATCGTCAGATGCCGATACCAATACCGCTATCACTGTTTTTATAATAAAGAACAAATTATGATTAATTCGCGCTAATCAGTATCACAATCGGTATCATGACACTCTACGGACCAAAATTGCGAAAGCCTTTATGGGACCCGGTTTTTAAAACACTGCACTATATCAAAACCTAGAGACAAACTACAAATTTTATTTTCAGGGTATGATAAAAAGAATAAATTCCTAAAAGAAATATATAATTTAGTCAAAATGAAAAATACAAAGAATTGGGTTACCTGAATGGAATCAAGTTGAATGAACAAGTTGACAGCTTTTTGAGAAAGAGCTGGAAAATCGAAATGGGTATTTGATGAAAAAGAGGATCTGAGATAAATGAAAGAGGATTTGATAGATGCGAGGTGTTTGAGGTTTCTTAGGGTTCTTGATCTACGAACAAGGAAGGAACGGAAATGGGTTTGGATGATGGTTGCTGCGGAATGTCGGAGAGATTGATGATGGGTCTGATGATGATGATTGAGAGAGGATTCAAGGGATTCAATGCGGTGGAGAAGAGATGAGATTGTGGATTGGTGTTTCTGATTTTGAAGAGTGTTTGATTTGGGGTGTACGAGGTTGTTGTCGTGTACGAGGTTGTTGTGGTGTTGTGGAGAAGGATGGAGTTGTTGGGAAAGGATGAGTGAGTAAATGGATTGTACGAGGTGGTCGTGTTGTGGAGAGAGATGGGGGTTTTGGGGGGTGGAGCAAGGGTAGGAAGGGGTGCAGCAGCAATGAGATGGAGGAGGTGGTGGTGGTGGTGGGGATTGGTGACGGCGGTGGTGGTGGTGGTGGTTGTGGTGGTGAGAGGCCATTGAGGGTTTTTGAGAGTGAGGGAGTTTTAGGGAGGAATGGATTTGAGTGTGGCTACTACTAGTTGGTCAGTTCAAAGAATATTAAGACAGGGACTTTTTTTTTCTATTAATCAGAATTTTAATTCTTCAATTAGTATTTGTGCAATTTTATACCTCCTTTTTAATTTTACAGAATCAGTATTTAAGTGTTTGTATTGTTTCTTTAAAAGGAAAAAGTTTCAATGGTTAAAATCAAGGTATTAATTGTCATAATTGTGTTCAAACGATCTAAAATGATTTACTATTATATTCCTCAGAGAAAACTCTTAATAAATTTGGTGGATTCGATTCAAATCTTATTAGACGCAAATTCATTCTCGTTAGTGAAAAATAAGATTGATCTCTTTGAATTAGTGACTGTCCACCAACTTCATGATTATGAAAAAAGTAAATCACTAGTGGAAGGTGAAATTGATCTCTTAGTTGGTGTCCACCTGATCTATCATGAATTGTTAGAGCAATTGATGAGTGAAAAATGACATTCAATATCCTATATTTCCTTTCATGCTAATGCTAGGCCAAAAATATTTTCCATAAAATTTGAAAACATGAACCAATATTGATAACAAGAGCAGATTAATCAAACAAAAGTTCATTCATAACAGCCATACAGTAATGGATGAGTACAAAAACAGAGTAATTAAACATAAAGTTTCCATCATTCCCATGATGTATACTCCATTTATATCAACTACTATGGGAAAGTGAACAAGTCAAAACAAAAATTAAACTCTTAACAAAAAATATTAAAGAATAAAACTGAGTGCCTCAACTCAATACTTCTTGACTTTTCATTCTGGAATCAAATGACCAATATATTTTATGCCACAGCTGGCATATCCTTGAGCCATGCATCCAATTGTTTTCCAATTGAGTAAACAATGAAACCAATCTCACGTAACTTGTCAGCATCCACAATGTTCCTTCCATCAAAAACAAATGCTGGTTTTTGCATGTTATCATATATCTTCTGATAATCAAGTGTCTTGAACTCATCCCATTCAGTCAGAATGCAGATACCATGTGCATCTTTTGTCGCTTCGTACGCATCCCAAACCACACTCACTTTCTTCACAGTTGTTGGACTTGTTGGCTGCAAGTGGATTGGATGGTCCCAATCGAATTTGTTCATTGATAGATCCCTCTGGATTTGGTCTTCGGTAACTTGCGGGTCAAATATGCTAAGGTTGGCTTTGTCGCCGAGTAGTCCCTGGCACACATCAATGGCGGGAGTTTCCCTTGTGTCACCGGTATCTTTCTTGAATGCGAATCCGAGAATGGCAATCTTTTTGTTTGAAACAGTGTTGAACATAGACGCGACTACGCGGTTCACAAAACGACTCTTCTGGTAATCGTTAATCTTGATAACTTGTTTCCAGTACTCTGCAACCTCTGGAAGACCGTTGCACTCGCAGATGTAAACAAGGTTCAAGATATCCTTCTGGAAGCAGGAACCACCGAAACCGACACTAGCGTTAAGGAACTTGGGTCCGATCCTTGAGTCAGTGCCGACGGAATAGGCCACCTGTTGAATGTTTGCACCGGTGGCTTCGCAAAGTGCTGACATTGCATTAACTGATGAAATCCTCTGAGCCAAAAAGGCATTAGCAGCAAGCTTAGATAGCTCGGCAGACCAGAGATTTGTGGTTAGTATTCTCTCCTCGGGAACCCAATGAGCATAAACACTCTTCAAAGTTTGAACAGCTGTAAAGCCTTCGGGGGTTTCCCTGCCTCCAATAAGAACACGGTCTGGATTAAAAAGATCTTTGATTGCGGTTCCCTCAGCAAGGAATTCCGGGTTTGATAGAATCTGGAATTTGATTCCCTTGCTATTGTGAGTCAAGATTTTCTCAATAGCCTCAGCAGTTTTGACAGGAACAGTTGATTTCTCAACAACAATTTTGTCAGACTTTGAGACATCAGCAATCATACGAGCCGCGCTCTCCCAATATGTCAAATCTGCTGCTTTGCCAGCACCGAGACCCTGAGTTTTAGTCGGGGTGTTAACAGAAACAAACACTATGTCAGCCTCAAAGACATGCTTTTCAACATCAGTGCTGAAGAAGAGATTCTTGCCACGACACTGCTTTACAACATCGTCAAGACCGGGTTCATAGATTGGAAGCTGATCGCTGTTCCAGGCTGTGATGCGGGATACAGATATGTCGACAACAGCCACTTCAATGGATGGACATTTAAGTGCAATGACTGCCATGGTTGGACCACCAACATATCCAGCACCAATACAGCAAATCTTCACCATTTTGCTTTTCTAAATAACCTGTCCAAATCAAGATTCAAACAGATCAGTAAAAACTAAAAACAACAGCATAAAAGGAAGCCACCTTCGCATTGATATCTTGAAACAACAATCTTTATGTATTCCATCAGTTAGCACAAACACTACATAATATAGCCATGATCACGATTTCGAAACTATCAATCTACTATCATGTAGAAATAATACATTAAGAATAGGTCAGTAATTCTGAAGAATAAAGGTTCAATTTAATCTCAATGATAACAGATTGATAGTTTCGAAATAGTGATCATAATAGTAGATTGGTAAACTATCAATCATTGAGACATCAAATCAATCTTAAGAATTGGCCATTCTTGGCCAACTAAAGTACTTTTATTTTTCAAATAAACAAACATGTATACAAAATGAGATTAATGAATAAATCCTCTTGGTATAAAAAAAATAGTTCTATACACTTACATCCAATGAAAACTCATGATATTGCCACATAAACTACCTTTGTAATTGTAACTACAATTTGAAATAGCCACAAAATGATTGATTCAATTTGAACGTTACTAATGGTGCATATCACTTTTTCTCAATCATATTTAGTTGCAACAACACCATGCGAATTATTTCGAATAAAAAAGGAATATGAAAACAAATCATGAATAAGCGAAAGATCCATAACATGAAAATGCCGTATATGCCACATGAAATCATCAAACAGCTTCCACAAATACAGATCTAATACACACATACAGATCTAACAGGTAATATTAAGTAAACTCAGTTAATAGCTATATAGAGACATCAGACTCAGACCGCAGAGCCGCAGGTTCGAATCTAATCCGCAACATCTCATGTATTCACGTATAAAGTGTGAAATTATAGCCACTACAATACTTGACAAAAAAAAAATTATTTTATGGAAAAAAATTCAGTATGACTATAAGTTGACCATTAATGAACTACATAAGCTCAATTCAAATCAGATCTATCATCTCAATGAAGAACAATGAACTACATAGCTTTAAAAGCAACAAATTACATCAGATCCATTACAATTTCAATTCTGAACAACTTCAAACGAACACCAACGAACAAAATCCAATCAAAATCATCAAATCAAGCTCGAAATCATGAAAATTGCAACAGATCCATCTCATTCTAACAGAAATCAAAACAAAGTCATCAACAAAAATTCAAAAGTACACGTAAACACTGAAATCAAATCGAAATTGCGATTCAAAATGTGTGATCTAACTAGAATTGACGCGAATACAACACCAGCATTAACATGAAGATGTAGTGTGAGAAAATTTACCTTGAGAGATGAGTGATGAAACGGTTTTGACTATGAGGGAAAAGAGAGAAAGAAATGAAGGTTTATGGTGGTGTTGTTATGTGGAAGAAGAGAAAGTGTGAGAAAGGTTATATATACGCAACGAAAATCTAGCTTTGAAAGTTGTTATTACCAAAAGGGCCTCATTTGGTGCAGTGTCCAAAATCATGATGATTTTTCATTTTTTTTAACTATTATTTTAAAGAATTGCTTGAGATGTTTTATTTTAAATTATGGCTTTTTATAATTAAAGATAGGAAATATTGCAGGAACACTTAATACGATTATGATATTTAAATAATTTTTATTATGATATACACCATAATTTTTTATGTAATACACAAAGTATTGAAAGTAGAAAAATAAAAGTACAAATGAAAGAGATGCAGTTGAAATGAGAGAAAAAAATTACAAAATAGAGTTAAGGTAAAGTGGACTAAGAAAGTTTAAAGAGTTAGACCATTGATAATATAGATAAAAGAAAACTTTTTAACCAAATACATAACTTTGACCAAATACAAAACATTTTTAATCAATTTTTATTTAGAGATTAATTCATTACAATTAGTTGTTTGTATTTATTATAAATAGTAAAAAGGATAATCAATTTTTTTAAAATATTTAACCTATAAATGAAAAACATTTTTATACAATGCATATCAAATATTTATTTTATATTTATATTTATGATTAAAAGATATTTATTTTAAAATCAATACATATCAAATTAGTATTATTTACAATAAATATTTATATATTATGTTAGACGAGACTTTGTTGGGGGAATTTCGATACAAGTTCCTTCCGGTCTCTTTCTCAAACCAAAGGTTCATGATACCATGTTGGTGGAAGATACTAGGAGCATTGATGCATAGTGTATGAACAAACACCTTTAAAAGAGATACATCACTTCTTCACTTAAAACCTTAAGGTGATAGGTGGGTGGATTCTCCCACTTATATAGGCTTAAGTTTCCATATTTCTATCCAATGTGAGACTATTTCCCCATTTACTCACACTTGATGGGGAGTGTTGGAATAATATAGCAAGTGTGAGTAAGTGTTTGTTCCTACACTATGCATCAATGCTCCTAGTATCTCCCCCAACATGGTATCATGAGCCTTTGGTTCGAGAAAGAGACCGAAAGAAACTTGAAGTGGTGCGGTACAAGTGGAAGAGCATTGTGGACTCACACTTGAGGGAGAGCGTTGGAATAATATAGTGAGGGAGAGCGTTGGAATAATATAGTAAGTGTGAGTAAGTGGGGAAATAGTCCCACATTGAATAGAAATATAGAGACTTAAGCATATATAAGTGGGAGAACCCACTCACATATCATCTTAAAGTATCTTCCCCAACGGTCTTATCATTTTAAAATCTTGAAAAAAAACATGTATAATTAATAAATAAAAAATTAATTAGGTCTGACATATTTATTAATATAATTTACAATATTTCTATGAATCATAATAATGAAAATTCGAACGAATGTCTTATACGATTAATTTGTATAACTATTAATTGAATTCCTTTTACGAGATTTCATCAAGTTTTATATTTTTTTAAAAAGAATATAATGGATTGACTTTTAAAAAAATATTGATTTTAAATTTTCAAATTTTTAGAAAAATATTATATAATTAGGATATATATTTTGAAATGTGTTGTCCTTTTATATAATTTAAAATATCATAAAATCATTTAAGTTACATTTTAGAAATTTATCAATTATGTAATTTTTACATTTGCGATTGTTTAAACAACTTTTTAAGAATATGTTTGATTTGAGACGAGGTTGGTAGTACCTACTAAATTCCCTGTGAAATCATTAATTGAATAAACCAATTTATTATCATCATTTATAAACAAAATACAATCAAGCACTTATCAATAATTAATATTTAATAAATAATACAAATTATTTAATTAAATTAATCTAACATCCTCAGCTAGCCTCAAGTTGAATTAATATAATAATGTCGGTTATGCCACTGCAAAACTAAAAGTTTCACAATTTTATTTCATAGTAAAGTGTGTCAGAGGCAAAATTGGAAACTTGTAATTAATTTAAGGATTTATAAATAAATTTAATTTTTTTAATATATTTAATAATTAATGTATTTAATTTATATATATAAATTAAATTAGATATATTAATTATGAAATGTATAAAAAAATTCAAATTTATTCTGTGAGAGAATATCTATTAATTGTGTTGATGGTTTTGTTTGTTATATATGCAACCGGCAAAATTGAAGTTTACAGCTTATTCACGCGTTCCACGCGTTTTTCCTGTGATTTTAAACTGTCAACTTCAACTTCAAGCGACCACATTCTCACCACATTCACGCGTTCTATACAATAATTATATTATATAATTACTGTATTGAAATATTCATATTCATGGTTAATATAAATAAAAATATAATTGTCAACAAAAATTCTATTGGAAGAGAATAAGAATGTGATTAACTATGAGCTGTAAGTTAAGAAATTTCTCGTGCTGGCCATTTTCTATATTAATTGTACATTATGAAATGGGAATGCACTAAGATGTAAAATGTGTGATTTAAGTAAAGGTTTTGGAGTATGATTATGGACCATAAAAACTTTAGGTACAAGACATCGACTGGACTAAAGGTGGCAAATAGAAAATATAGATTCACTCCATAAAAAATACAGGTTAATCAAAGGATTTGATCCCTGTTGCTTCTAAAATTTTAAAGTGGTGAACGATCATATATGTTTTTTTAAACTCATTTCTGTTAGAGTCTGCAGACAAATAGAACAAAAAAAATTAGACAAAATAGAAAGGTAAATTGAAAACTTTGATCCTGAAATTCTGACAGCAGATACTTAATGTCACAGTGAATGTTATGATACCGTATCTGACTTTCTTCAAGACAGTAAATCTAAAAGCAGTAAAGAACACAGTCAATTGTTTACCCAGTTCAGTGTATAACAACACCTACTCTGGGGGCTACCAAGGCAGGGAGGAAATTCACTATAAGAGATATTAATTCAGGAATAAACCAACCAGTTTATCTCCTTCACTTAAGACCTACCCAATGCAACTTCAATCTAAGTTCAACTTAAATCTGAGTTCCTACTAACTCCCCCTCAATCACAGCAGTGATACTAAACAATTGACTAATGAAATTATGAAGACACTCTTCAGAACATACACTTGATTGTGCTTCACAGCTTTTAATCAAGTAACACAAACACTCGTGCTTCAAAGCTTTGAGTGATACACAACCCTAACTTGACTTTGCTTCCAAGCTTTAATCAAGTGACACAAACACTCATGCTTCAAAGCTTTGAGTGATACACAACCCTTACAATCAAATCCTACTCCAAGTCACTTATCACAATGATAATTGCTTGGATTACAGTAGTTACAACTATACAGTCCCCTATTGATCTTCTGTCAAAAAGTGTCTTTCGCCAACAGTTTTCATGAGGAATATATAGGCAGCTATTCTTCAGTTAGGGCTTCCACGAAAATAGCTAGGGTTAATTAGGGTTAACCTCAAGACTTGGTCATAGGACTTTAACGACCAGATTAGAATTAAGCAAAGTTAACCTAAGTCCACGTGAGAATCTGATCTGGACTGAATAAACCAGATTCCTGAAAATTCTCAGAAATAATAAATCTGCACAAATGTTAGTT